ATGGCCACTCGTTACGTTCTCGTGAGAAGGAAATTACGATGTATAATATAATGATAATACACACAAGTTTCATCGCATTTGGAATTGTCGTTCGACTTTTCCCGTTATCACCGAATCGGACACGTCCACCGCCTTAGTCAGCATTATATAAGTTCAACGGTGTTAGCTGAGCCGCGTTCAACGTTAAACCACAGCTACGCTATTTCTAATCGTTTTCCTACTGCCGGTATTGTAAGACTCATTTGCTACTTTAATCATTACGTACGTTTCATTCAGATTCTAATTTACACGTTATCGTCGGAAGTAGTGACCAATAGCGTTAAAATATCTTCAAGCAGCAATTTCGGGGAGTATCGTTCGTTATGAAATAACCGCGATATCTCAGTGACAATGTACCATAGTAGGCTTGATGCTGCGTTCACCTGACGAGCGTTCGAGATAGAGAAAACGAAAGAAAATACAAGATCATTCCCACTCCCGACACGTAAAGTGATTAGTTTCGCTCGTTCGGTCACACCAAGTCGTTGATAGTTCAATGATCGCCTTAGATCGGAGGCACGTTACGTGACGATTTTACGTGTGAACATTGTAATACCAAATAATACGGAAACAGATGGCCGGATCAGAGTACAAAGTTAGCGGATTAGGCGATATTCGGTTTACTTTGCGTTTGCTGTAACGGATAGCGGAGAACGAGAGTGATCGATCGGAAGTGCATCGAGGGTAGCCGACGAAAGAGTAGCCCGCGCAGTCACGTTTCTTACGCGCGTGCGAAATATGAAATATATAAACATTACATATATTGCAAATAAGATTGTGCACGATTACCTGCGCAGGGTACACCGTAATTGTGCTCACGATTTTCGGAGCACTAGCAATAAATGATGCGACAACGGAGAGTTACAAACGAAATCTTTGTATCACTTTTCGAGTAACGGATAATACGCGTAATAATCACGAGGCAAAGAATGTCGACATGTTTTCTTCTTATTCTTCTTCTTCTTCTTCATTAGAAAGATTCTATGCAAATAAAATTTGTGCTCAAGCGAAGGCGTCGGATTATATAATTTCTTCTCGCCTCTCTTCACCGCAAGTGCCCCAAAAGTCGCGCGCGATCATTACGACGTGCACATCCTGTTAAGAGAAATTATGCGACATAATTTCGTGCAACGCGATATGCGTCTATTCCGTGACTGAATGTAAAGTAATTTATAGAGGAAGAAAGAATAGTACCGATAAATCTATATAGCACATCCCACGAACATTGTCACAAAGTTATGTTATACAATAACGAGCACTTCAAGACTTCAATAAATTTGTATTTAAATGTGAAACACTGCGTATTTATGGTTTCTCTTGGCACAAGTTATTCTGCCTTGCGCTCTAACAACATACGGTAAAACATTTCAAGGAATGAAATAAATTAGAATAATTTCTTATTAATGTTATTTTTTAATGTGTGATTTTTATTTAAGAATTTATTCGTCGTATAGTTGCTGTATAATACATAATATATTTTCAATATAATATATCTCAAGAATTCTCTGAAGACAAAAATAGAAAAATCTCTCGTATTTTTCCGCACTGCCTATTATACTTTTGATTATTTCACAGCTTATTGGAAAAGACTATAAGATGTTGTGAAAAAAAATACAAAATCTTTAAAATTAATTTTTCTAATATTATATCGTATAATCAGTCACAAGAGAGATTTTCTAATGATTTTACATATTTTTCTTCTTTACATCTAACATCATGAATTTCTTCGTGAAGATATCAGAGAAAATATGAAAAATCACATCACATTGAAAAGAGTCGTATCTCTTTTAGGACCGCTTTATATGGCCGCAAGAAGTTTCTCTACGAAGCGACGTTGCGTCATCCGCTATAAATTTCAAATTTTCGCGAGCTAGAATTTCCTGGTCTCCCCTTTGTTAGTGTAACCCGAACGCACTGTTGTGATATATCTTCCGCCGTTTAACGTCGACTGTGAAGTGTATGACGGTGTCGATGATGAATTTCTTGTTGATAATACTGTCGTGCCGTCCTACGGGGTTCCATGACGAGAACGTGCTTCACCAAATCGGCGCTGCCTAAATATTGAGTCACCGGCTATTTCTGTAGCCGCGCCTCGACCGTAAAGCCGTAACAGTACAGTGGCGGACTCGGAACCTTTGCGGCCCTAAGCTGTAACAATGAGATATTTCTCCTCCCACACATTGCAATACGCACAGTAAAGAAAATATTTGTACGAGTAGTCTTTCGAGCCCGTCATGCGCGATCGTGTGAATCACGATGAAATCTAACAAGTTTGTGTATTTATTTCCGAGAAACAGACACGAGCTCAGCAAAGTTGGAATTTAGACGTCAATTTGGGGCAAAGAGAGACACACCATCGATCTTATTCTCGGCGGTTGCTGACTCGCTTCAATCAGCCGCGGGCACGGCTGTCCCTAATACGGCGCATTTTGCTTCGTTCTATCGGACGATTTCCAGCGATTTCCATCATAAAGCGTGTCACGCGTTAAAAGATACAGGAAGATCGCGATTAAAGCCTTGTTCGTTTTGCAGTCGACGACGGAAACAGAACTTTGCCTGTATCCGAAACGCATTTGGCACACAAAAACCGCCGCCTGGCGGAAGAGCGAAGAGCATCCGACAATTTTATCCCGGATTCCTCCGTTATAAAGTATCCCTACCTAGTATTATAAGGTCATCAGTATAGCTCCGTGTGTAAATGGGAGCCATATAGGGTAAAACATTTTATGTCAATTCAACATAACATGAATATATTGAAAAGTAACACAAATATTATGTCAGAAATTAACACACAATTAATACATTAATCGACACTGAAGTATACACAGAGAAAAAGGTTTCTTTAGATTTAGTATTTCTATTTATTTGATTAAAATTTGTTTCGTAGAAACAACATATATTTATACGAAATATTATTTGTTTGTGTAAAGATGTTATTGCCTCAAAAAAAACTCTATTATTTAACTGAAAGAACGCTATTATTTGAAATCACATTTTTTAACTAGATAAAATATTATTTGGTTACAAAAAATATGTAAAATGAAACAAGTAATTTCTTTGTAAGAAAATTATCTTTCGTTTCAAACAAATTTTTTATTTAAGACAAAGATACATATTCGCAGAAAAGTTTAACAATCGCACTTATTAATCGAAACATTAGTTTTTTTGGAGCATGCCGATGATGAAATTTATGTTTGGATGCAAGAAAATTTATTAAATTTTAAGAAATCTTTTTTTCAGTGTAAAATATGTTATTTTAGCACTTATACATGTTGAAGATCGACTGAATACAAAATACCCAGTAAAAAATCATTAATACAACGTTATTGTAATAACATTTTTACATTACAATAACATATAACGTTTTCAAATACGTAATTCTTAATGTTGCACACAACATCGTTATTAACAATATTTGACGTAAAAATAATATATTTCTATTTCTACACTATGATTTTCATATTTATAAATATGATATTATCAAATAACAGTTTAAAAACATTTATAAAATATTATGTCAAAATATAAAATCCATATAAAACCAATGTTTCAAAATTTCGATTTAATGTTTCTCGCTTACTGGGTATTGAGATAACATAAGCATAATATGTTAAATTATCACATGGGTATGTGCACAAATTTCACGCACAAACTTCAACAAGCACCGATTTTAACACAAGTACAAAATATTTCTTATCTCGCAGCAGTACAATTTTCCTTCAATTCGAGTCTTGGAACCAAAACTTTCCAAACCGTCAACTCAGAAGCCCTTACCGCCGTTGAGCTTTCATATTCACTTTGCAAGGGGAGAAGTCAAACGAACAAACGAACGTCCAAGAACGTCAGATGTTTATGAGATCGCCGCAGAGTGAATCTGTAATGATGATTAATTCAAGGAGCCTCTGTTACATTCATAAATCCCGGTGGAAGCAAATAGCTCGATACAGTTGTGAATAACACAATCGTCTGTATGCACAACAAAATATTATCGTGCACGCGCATTGCCTCCACCCGGTAATACCGTCGCGGATTTGTTATTGTTATTATGTAACGATAATTACCTCCCGCGCGATTGTCAGGCAAGAATTAATCGCGCGACGAATCGGTCCGCCCGGTCACGTTGCATCGTGGCCGATTACGTAATCGATATTCGATATCGCGATGCAAATTGATCACGACGACGATACTCTTCTTCTCTACGTCCCCCTTCGCGTTTACGACCGATGCGGCGCAAGGACGAGCTGGAACAGGGAGAGAGAGAGAGAGAGAGAGAGAGAGAGAGAGAGGAGGAGGCGGCGAACAAAGAGCGGAAATCTCTCTCTCCTTCTTCTTCTCTCTCGGTCTCTCTCTATCTCTCGGAACCATGACAAACGGGATCCGCTTTGCCGCAGCCTAAAAACAGACCACGAGGACGAGCCACCTCCGAGGGCAAACAAAAACTGAGTAATTGCGCGCGAAGAGCAGGCTGTCGTTAGATGCTGCTTCCAAGTGCACCGTCCGTATCGTTCTCCGTCTCCGGGTTATCCTGAACGCTTCTTCGATCCTTGCCGATCTTTTTTCTCGATTGCATTTCCCAAATTATTTTTACCGACCGCCAAGGAATCCGAAGGGGTTCGATCGCGCGCAGCGAGTCATCATTGCGCACACAGAGAAAAAGATTTCTTCAAATTTAATCAATTTTATTGCATCCCAACACAAATTTCATCATTGGCATGCTCCAAAGAAACGAATGTTTCGATCAATAACGTACGATTGTTAGACTTTTCAACGAATAAAAAATTTGTTCGAAACGAAAGATAATTTTCTTACAAAGAA